TAAGCCCCACAAGAATGTGCTCCGTGAGGCGGTGCACCTGTTGAACGCATGAGTGATTTGTACGGAATCCGAATTGTTCATCGATGAGAATGCCCTTGGATGAGACGAAGTCTCTGAGGCGTTTGTAGAGCAGACGCTCATACAGTTTGCCTAGAGACATGAGGAGGCTAATCGGGCGGTAGCTCGTCGGATGATTTTTTGGTTTACCGGGTTTATGTATGCCGATAACGTCCGCTTCTTTCCACACCGCGGGAAAGATACAGTTCGCCATAGCGGCATTGAAAATAGATGCCAACATCACGATGAGTTGGACGGGTAGAAGTTTAATAACGCGGTTGGATATACCGTCGGAACCGGGAGCCTTGCGAGGACGTAGGTCTTTGATCAAGTCTTTAACTTCCATCGGGGTGACGGGTGGTAACGCATCCGAGGGTGGCAAGGAGGCTCTGCGTTCTACCTCACTGTCTACTAATTCTACATGAACAGGGTCCACGGATTGAGTGCTGGGCGTGCACTGGGTTTGCAATGTATCGGCCAGCAGCTCTGCTTTTTCGTCATCATCGAACGCCGCGAGTCGGCCTGAGGGGCCTACGAGGGGGGGCATAGTTACTACCGTATCCGATTTGAGAGTACGAGCTAAGCGGTAGTAAGACCTTTGGGAGGGCGCGAGTCCTTCTAAGAAATCAGACCATCTGGCATCTCGGACTTCGGCGATGCGAGACTTTACGTCGCGTTGTAGGGCACGCATTCGAATACGATTTTCCGCGGTAGGATACCTGTCGTAGGCGCGTATCGAGGCGTTCTTAGCTCTAAGGAGTTCCCTAATATCGTCGGACAATTTGAAGCGGTGAAGGAAGTCCTCCGCTACAACTTGTTTCGATGACCTATCTAATGTCGAGGTGATGTGTGACGTTAAGATGTCTATGGCTTCAGCGGTATCCTGAGGAGACGGGGTAGAGTCCGGGCTAAACGGTAGCGATGGTGGATCAGATTCAGCCAGGCTGATGCCCAGCGTGTGCCAATCCACCACAGTCCTCGTGACGGGAACGGAATCGGGAGCGCGACCGAGCTTCATAACGACGGGACGGTGGTCTGAATCTAACTCTGAAACTACTTCGATCGAGTGTAAGCGCAGAGTTACGTTTTTTAATAACGCTATGTCGAGTATATCCGGGCGATGCGCGATATTTAGCGGGTAGTGAGTCGGGGTTAGCGGAGCGACGATATCGAAGGCGAGATCATCGACTAACGCGTCAAGCCGCCTGCCATTCGGGGTTGTGGTGTGTGAGTTCCACCTGATGTGTTTACAATTTAGGTCGCCCGCCAGAATGACAGAGCTCCCCATACCGAGCAGCGCCTCGATATCACTGCTTAGAACGATCTTATCCGGTGGAAGATAAACGGACGCGATAACGATCGGCGCGTGTCCCGTCAGTGAGATTCGGCACACTGATGCTTCGATATTAGCGAGCGCGGGAGGATCGAGCGGGACGCAATGCAGGGCTCTTCTATAGTAAATGACGGTACCACCACCACGGGCAGAGAGCCTGTCGTTCCTGACCATGTTATAGTTCGCGATTTTAGGGTCACGGCGCGCGGGCTTAAGTAGGGTCTCCTGCACTAAAAAGATATCAATTTGATGGTCACGCAAAAAGTCAGAAACCTGATCACGTTGATTTGCGAGACCGTAAGCGTTAAAAAATCCTATCGTTACGGATAGGGGCTTTATTCTACTTATATACGCCATTGATTACCGGCGGAGTGAGGGGAGGACGTACGTATTTAATGACGCGTATACGTCGGCGTATTCTTGCACAACGGCGATAAAGTGTTGTGCAGTGGAGGCAGCGCGAATGGCGTCGCCCAAAGCGTTAACGCGCTCAAAGTTGATCGACTGAAAGAAGTCGATCGCTAAAGCGAGATTGTCGGACGCGGTCGGAGGGCAAGTCGCGGGAGAGGGACGAGTCGCGGGGGCGGGACGAATCGCGGAGGAGGGAGTTGTAGCCGTGTTCGTGTACGGCAGCGGTTTCGCCCAGGCCGAGACACTGGGCACCGCCGCCGGAACGAACGCTGGCTTAGCCTGCGACGCAGAGGGTGCCGAGGCTTTGATGTCTGGGCCGGAAGCTCGGAGGCGGTTTTGGCGGGCGACGCGGCGATTTATTTTAGGGGCTCGGGGGCAACCACGGTAATTCGCGGGGTGACCCTGTGTTCGACACAGGACGCAGCTAGGCGGTTCCGTCGCGGTTTTTTGGTCGCGAGCGCAGAGGGCCGTGGCGTGATCGCCCAAACACTTAACACATCGGGGGCGCGCGTGACAGTTACGGGAAGAGTGCCCGTACAATTGACAGTTATGGCACTGGCTAGGAGTGCCTTTTTTATGGGGGGCTTCGACAGCGATACCAGAGAGCCTACAGACGGTCTGTGTGTTAAAGATTTTCTTACCCTCGGGGGTAGGCTGGAGAGCGACTAGAACCATATTATATGGCTCCCTACCGCGACCGGTGTGCATAGATCGCAATTCCAAGGGGTATTCCTGTAAGCATCCACGAGTATTGGGATACTTGGGCTCGATATTTCGAGCGATATCCAGTTTTGGAGTCATTTGGTGAGCAAAGCCAAGTTGGCGTCCAAAATGCTGAAAGTACCCAACAGAGCGAAGCAGTACCTCAAGCCTGGACAAGGACTTTCGCTTTACAAAGCATAAGTGCGGCCTCGCAAGTATTGCTCCCACCAGCTCTGGGCCGGGACTCCCAAATATTCCAATACTCCCAATACTTCCATTTGACTCTATACAGAAGAAGGCCGTTCGCATTGTAGGTAGTCCCATTGCCACGGATCGCTTAGAACCTCTGGGTCTGCGGAGGGACTTCGGTTTTCTCTGTATTATTTCAGTTTCACTTTAAAGCTACAATTTGCAAAACAAACGAAGAAGTGAGTGAGAAGTCGGTGTACTCGTATTTGCTAATGCGGCCATGCCGATATTTAGGTACAATACTCAACAAAAAAATACACACTTGGTATGGATTCGTGAATAATTTATAACAATTGAATAATCAGTATATTCTAAAAATAGTAATATCTTCCAATATATTAAGGGTTGGATTAAGAAAAAAAATTCAGACATATTCTTTGAAGAGCTAGCCAATAAGTGTTAAGTTTCGACTACAAAAAAAAAAACAAGCGCCAAACAAACAAACAAATTCAAATTCAAATTCAAATTCAAATTCAAAATCATTTATTTCAACTTGGATGTCATCAAAAACACACTTGTTGAATGTCAAAATGTAAAAGAAAATGTTAACTCTACCACCGGTTCCAAAAAAGCCACAGTCCTGAGAAGAACCGGCGAAACAAACTCAGCGGGCTTTTTTATGTATTTTCTCAACTATTTTCTTCTTTTTTTTTTTTTAAACAAGAAAACATATTTACAGTATACAAAAAGACAAGTCAAAAAAATACAATTCAAATAAATAATAATAATAATGAAAAATGAAAAGGCCAGGAGCGAACGCCTCATTCCCACGTAGTGCCATCTAGTAAAAAATCCTTAACTTTATAATATGCCTTGTTGCACAAACGTTCCTTGACAGTTTTCTTAAATCTATGAACAGGTAGTAGTTGAACGTTTTGTGGGATCTTGTTGAAAAGTTGTACACCCAGCCCCCTGAAAGAGTTGCTTATTTTCTTAATTCGAGCCGCCGGCAACGCAAGCCTATGTTTGTTCCTAGTGTTCACATTATGCAAATCGCAGACTCTGGGGAATTCTACAATGTTTTTACGCACGTACAATAAATTTTCAAAAATGTATTGGGACGCTAAAGTTAGAATTTTGATTTCCTTAAACTTGTCCCTCAAGGATTCCCTCGGGTGCATATTATAAATAGCACGAATAGCCCTCTTCTGCAGGATGAAAATCGTTTCGACATCGGCAGCATTGCCCCATAGCAAAATGCCATAGGACATAACACTATGAAAATAACTGAAATAAACTAGACGTGCCGTATCTTCATCAGTATACGTTCGTATTTTTTTTACCGCAAACGCTGCAGAACTAAGTCTATTCGCTAACTTGCATATGTGAGGACCCCACTGCAGCCTGGAATCAACTGTTATACCAAGAAAAACTGTCGAATCAACAAGCTCCAGTGTCTCTCCACTTACAATGATATTAGTGTCTACTTGTCTAACATTAGGTGTGGTAAATTTTATACATTTTGTTTTTTTGTTATTTAATAACAGATTATTAACACTAAACCAATGTACCACGCGCGAGATAGCATCATTCACATCGTCATAATCTTCCAATTGTCGTTTAATTTTAAACAATAAGGATGTATCATCAGCGAATAATACGACCTCGTGACGGGTTTCAATAAACTTTGGTAAATCATTGATATACACAAGAAATAAGAAGGGACCCAATATGGAACCCTGAGGAACACCCATATTAAGTAAGACACCGGAAGATCTCTTTCCTTTAACGTCTACCTTTTGGATTCTTCCGGATAAATAAGATTTAATAAGTTCTAATGAAACGCCCCTAATACCATAATGGTGTAATTTCCTCAACAATGTATTATGCTCAACACAATCAAAAGCTTTAGATAAGTCGCAGAATACCCCAAGGGCATTATGCGATTCCTCCCAAGCCTGAAAAATATTTTTAATAAGATCTACACCTGCATCAATAGTCGAACGGCCTCTAGTGAATCCATATTGTTTGTTATGAAGCAGGTTATTGGAATAGAAATGGTTCAAAAGCTGTTCCAAAATAATTTTTTCAAAAATTTTACTCAATGTAGGTAGTACTGAAATGGGTCTAAAGTTAGTGGGGTCAAAAGTACTACCAGATTTAAACAGAGGTATTATTTTACTATATTTCATTAGATCAGGAAACACACCACTATCAATACAGTCATTAAATATTGTAGCAAGGTAAGGTGCGATTATATCAATAATGGATTTTATAACCTTAATTGATATTCCCCATAAATCACCAGTTTTTTTAATATTAATGAGCTTGAAATTATCAATTATGTCCTTTATAGCAATATTTGTGAACTTAAAGTTAACACTGCATTTATCAACATGATCTTGCAGTAATGATTCGGCGACGGTAGGAGATGAAATTAAAGATTTTGTAGTAGAAGCTGGGATATCAGCAAAGTAGCGCTCAAAAGCACTGGCCACTTCTTGATGAGAAGTTATTATTTTATCATTGATTTTCAAAATTGATTCAGCATTGCTGTTTCTGACATTCCCAGTCTCCCTATTAATGATATTCCAAGTCATTTTAATTTTGTCAGGTGCATTTTTTATAAGTTTGCCTAAGTGCAATGACTTGGCCAATGTACAGACTTTTTTAAACAGCTTGGAATATTTACAGACATACTCATGAAATGACTTATTATGATTATAGGATTTTTCATGATAAAGGTCATATAATCTCTGCCTACTTTTGTGAATTCCAACAGTCGCCCATTCATTGAATGATCTTTTATTATGTAAGATCAGAGTTTTAGAAGTAAAGATGGCACTAAATTCATCATTAATGCAATTAAATAAATCCATGTAGTGAACATTAGGATCTTCACTATAACAAACATTCGCAATTCTTGCCAAAACTTTACCTCTAAACTTCTCCATACGTCTAATATTAATAGGAACAAACTGTAGGTTTCTTGAACTATTAACATCTGTAACAGATTTAATTTTAAAAGATATGAATTGTCCACTGTGGTCTGAACTTAAATGATTAATAATATATTTATGCAAAGGTTTTACGTTTGTGAAAATATTATCTATACAGGTTGCCGATGTGCTAGTTTTTCTTGTGGGCTCTGAAAATAAATTGCTAAGGTTATATGATTTTAACAATGTTCTGAATCTAATAGTGGCATTTGTATTTTCTAATAAATTTATATTAAAATCACCACAGATAAAAATATGTTTATTAGAAACAGAGAGCTTTAATAAAACATGTTCCAATATATTTTCAAAAGAATCATATAACGAATTCGGGGGCCTGTACACACTTACAACAATGAATCGCTCAAGCTCTACACATGCCATTTCAATAATCCGTTCCACAGAGAGGCTCACAATGTCTCTACGTTCCTTACATTTATAATCTTTAAATATAAAGCATAACGAAAGCATAACATATGAATTAATTAAGAATACCTTTTAATTTTCATGTCATATTTTCATTATTTCTTTTGTGACTTTTAGAATCAATCGAATTTCATCGAATTAAATCAAAACTCAACACAACTTTCTGCGCTATATTATTAATCACAGAACCTTAAGTATAAAAATATAATACCTAAGAATACATAAATTATGCATATCATCGTGTTCAGTTGCGACAGACACTTCAAGTGAAAAGTTCTGACGTCATACATCGTTCGTACATTATGTCACAAGCTTTGCTTGATAATACACACTGACTTTGTGTTTATCCTTAGGATTTGTATTAGATTATAGATGCAGACTAACACTGAATAAATACATTCAAAATGTTCATACTTCAAATCGGAAATAATAGTGTTGTTTACAATATCAGGGTATCTTGCGCACCTTGCGTAGAAACTGATAACGTGAAAGTGACTTCCTTCGCGTGGACTTAGCAGTTTTTTTTAATTCCTTCGGCGCGCACTTTGCGGTAGCGTGGGTTTCGTGGAGTCGGAGTGGTGGGGCTCGATGGGGCTTAGTCGGTAGTCGGTTTTGCGGGGTAGCTCTTGCGTGGCAGACGCCGTGCAGTGCCTCGCGCGCCTTTCTCAAGGCGTAGTCTCCCGGCAGGAATTGGAAGAAGAGGAGGACTCCTGTCTTCTTCTTCTCCCTGTTCTTCTCTGGAGGCGCCGGAGTCCGACATAGCCCGTTCTCTTACCCCCCTCGACCGGGTAACCGTAAATGGATTAGCCAGCGTTAAAAAAAAGTTTCTTTAATTCCATTTTTATGTTAAACGATAGATCACAACCTTAGCGCGATTAACTAAACCAATAGCGTCGCCTTTCGAAGTATAACTCGTAAAAATACAAGTGAAATACGTGTAGTTGCTTAAAATTGTAATAACTTTATATGTATTAAATGAAGATATATATTATGTATGAACTTAAATAATACTATTGTGACGGTTTTCTCGCGTGTTTCTTATTTTCATTTTAGTTATTCCTCTAAATATCATTTTGCAGGAAACATAAGAGTAAAGTATCCTAAACGACTGATATACTAAAATTCATATAAAAAATATTATAAATAATTGCATAACCAATACAATATCAGCACAATAATAAATACCTAATGAAACAATATGTTTATTTATCATATTATTATATGTATTTTTTGTAAGTTATTAACGATCTTTTCATTTTTTTATTTCTTAGATGGTTAAACGAGCTCACGGCTCACCTGATGGTATCATGGTATCATCTCAAACAATTCCTTCTTAAATAGAGACCGAGTGTCTAAGAAATACAATTAAAGAAGTTATCGAAGTATAACGCTTTTTTCTTTCTTTCCTTAGACACGTACAGGCAGAGAAGGTGTTCTAAGGTGCCTAATGTTAGATTATTGCCGAGGCCAAATATCACGTTGTGAATGGCGGCTTTCATCTATCAAGACAAAAATGGAATTGAATTGTCAATTTTCGTGTGTAAGTGACGACTGTGTCGCTGACTGTGACACACTCGACAAACCGTGACAACGTCTGGGTGTGTGTGTGTCCTTTGAAATAGTGCACAGACCGTTCAAAACACGACATGCAAACTTTTCTACGTAGTTTTCGAATATTAAATATTAGTGAGACCCTTGAAACAAACAAAGTACTGAGCTTTCAAATATTTACATAAAGAAAAATAAAGACTTCATTTTTTTTTACTTGCGCTTACTATAAAGCTTTAGAGTATCACAGAAAGGAAAACTATCTACTAATATGTCAAAAAGCAATGGTGAGAGAAATCCTGAGTTCAGAAACGCGAGTCACTCGCAAAGACCCAAGTTATTGTCGTTCCTTATACGGGCTGGTATAAGAAACATTGTAAAAAGCTAAAACAGAACAGAAAGCTGACAGACTGCTTAACCTAATTTTAAATTAATCAGAAGACGATACAGATAACAATGCAGAAGGAAAGAAGAAATAAAAATAGCATGCAGAAGGAAAGAAGAAATAAAAATAGCAGCGTGATCGTGCTCGGGGTTCGTAAGGCCCTCCGAGAACCTTAGAGACACTCCGAGAATCTACGAGAGCCTCCGAGAGCTCTACGAGAATATCAGCAATGTTGACGTCACACCTTTTAAAAACACCGCTTATCCTCCATCTCCGCTAATCCATAATATAGACTTAAGATAATTAATAACAAAATTAAATTTCATAGTTGCAACGAGTAAGATAATTCTATTTAGGTGTTATTATATCTACGTGTGCAGATATTATTATAGTAAAGCTTTACTGTGCTTATGCAAACTATATTTCGTGTTGACGTGGTATGTTTAGTATTTTCTTCAAGGATAAGGCGCCTGTATGTGGTTAACATGCCTTTGAGAAAACCAAAGTGCTTCGAGGTGAATTCTCCAGCCGAGAAAATGTTGAGCTTCGAGAAACCCTTGCAAGTTTAAAGTGCAGTTTTCGCTTATGTATGGAAAATTTATTTATGGATCGGAAATAAATTAAAAAAGTTTTATATTTCTCTTAAAAATGCAGTGTTTAGAAAATAAAAATAATTGATATAAAGATGAAATCAATTAATTGAATAGTTTCGTAAGTTGGTCTATCACACTGCATATTTCTGTAATGAAGGGAACGAATATTAATAAAATTTGAAAGATAGTATAGTAACAATTAAAGTGTACCAAAAAGTTGAAACTGCGTACCTTCACTACATAGTATAAAACAAAGTCGCTTTCTCTGTCCCTATATCTGTCTGTCCCTATGTATGCTTAAATCTTTAAAACTACGCAAGGGATTTTGATGCGGCTTTTTTTAATAGGTAGAGAGATTGAAGAGGAATGTTTATAATAATATGTATAATAATATCCATTAAATAGTGGAGAAATCAATAATAAATTACAGTTTCCGAAGCTAAGCGAGGGCGGGTCGTTAGCTAATTATAAAAATCAACTAAAAAACACGACATACTTTTAATAAATATTTGAAAAAAATAACAGTATTTATTACCGGCCTGCGTTATATTATAATTTCAGTGTAACTGGTTTCATGAACCGTGAAATAATCACACTTAGGTTATGCGGCCCACACACCCACGCGCACGCCTGCACACATCTAATGCTGTTATTTAACAAATTAATTTAGTTAAGCTTAACAAATATAGAATTTGAATTAATTTTATAAAAAGATACTCATTAAAAATTATTATGATTATTTACTGAAAAAGTAGTAAAATTACTTGTTGTAAATATTGGCTGACATCACAACACAGGACTAATTTTGATTTGGCTCTTTGTCTCAAGTTGAATGACGCGGATAAAACTTTACAACATACAACAATATTACAACATATATGTAAGAGCAATGTGGCCTACTCTGTCTCATATTCAGAATGCTGCTGCATTTAGCCCGTACTCTAGGCACAGAGGAAGCGCATCGCTTCCACATGACTGCATGAATGTTTTCATTCGATGCGAACGTCCGCAAACATCCCTGGGGCGCTACAGAAACTAAACAATCCTATCTACACCCCAAAAGCGTCATTGAACAGTACGTTTTAATATAGTTTTCAAATAAACGAGAATCTTTCCGAAGTATGTTTAATGATAACGAAAACGGTCATGACGACAGATGTAGCTAGCCTAACGTGATTATAATATATAAAGTCGCCTTATTAAAAAATTATAATCGAAATAGTAAAATCGCTGCCGGCTGACATCCGAGTTTGCAAGTCTGTTTCTGTTTTTAAATACAAGGTCAAACAATTTTATCTTTCATCAACCGAATAATCATGGTTCTATACTCTTCGTATATACGAGTGTTACTGTGTTACTTATAATATTTTGTATTCAAGTTTAACAATATTTGCTATGTGTATGTGCATTACTATAATTCTCATGTTGTATTTGTTATTTTAGTTATGTGTTATTTGTTCTACACACACTCATCACTTTTTATTATTATTCTCATTATCCTCTCGCAAGTCTGCTGGAAGAGATTTCTTAAAGAAATAAGCAGTGCCTTTGTACATAATTTTCCTATTACTCTGTACAATGTCTTTTTTTCTGTGTGTACATAAATAAATAAATAATAAAATTCATTATTAATGCTGGTAGGTAATTCTAGAACTTATTGTGTTACGAATTAAATTAAATCACAAAAATGATTTTAGTACAACAAGAAAGATCGGATGAAGAAGGTTTATTGAATTTGAGAAGGCGAACTCAGATATTTATTAAATTTGTTCAGTGATGGAAGGCGCTAAAATAAAGTTTTTTAGAAGGAAACGGAAAGTGAAGGTGACGCTCAAACAAATTGTATCGTAAAATTCAAATGAGATACATCTATTTATTGACTAGCGGCCCGCTCCGGCTCCGCTCGGGTCTTTAACAAAAATGTCAACGATATTTGACGTTGTTTTATTTTTTTAAATAAAAGAACACTTATTGCGGCATAACTATAATAGTTAGTATGTCTAACTATTACAGTTATGGCGCAATAAGTGCTGTCGCGACACTTTTTGTGGATAATAATGTATTCTAAAAGTTGTAGTACATTATTTTATTCTATTATCCATAGTTTTCGCAGGGCATGCGATGTAAAGATTATTTTAGGTATTTTTTTTACACCTTGGGTTACTTTATTGGAGTTTTAGTAAGGATCCCAAATTTTTTTCAAAAAAGATTAGCCTATGTCACTCGTGAATAGTGTAGCTTTCAAGCAGTGAAAAAAATTTTCAAATCGGTTCAGTAGTTTCGGAGCTTATTTAATACAAACAAACAAACAAATCTTTCCTCTTTATAATATTAGTATAGAAGTATAGATCAAACAAAACTTTAGAGATTTGAATTTCTAGGTTCACAAACTAGTTTTCCGTAATGCTGCAATGTCATTTGCCAGCGAAAAGAAAGCTTAGCTACCCCGGAAATGATTCTAATGTACCTCTAGATCTCATATCTACATGTCGCATCCCGACACGACAAACGACACGAAAGCGCGCCATCTAGTGGGTGTGAGCAGCAACTACTCGTCAAACGTCGGCTCAGTTCGGGTGGCGTGCTTCGGCAGAGTCGAGATGTCACTTGAGTGGAATCGAGACACATTCGCTGCCCGACTTAGGAAGAGTGAAGACGTCTCGGGACTGTTATCGTTTCGTGTTTCGCAAGCTCTTTGCGCGATTATCAACGATGCGCCCATAGATAATAGATAATCTATATATTAATACGTAAAGCAAAAATTTTATATCCCTTTTTACGAATAATTGCGCTGACGGAGGAGTATGATATTTCCAATACTTATAGAGAATATAGAGGAGGAGTGCAGATTGTTAATAATTTTTTTTTATGCATAAAAAATATAATAAATCAATAAATAAAATATTACACATAATAATATTACCATGTATTTGACACACACGCACGCACTCTATTTGTTTATTGCCAATTTTTTCTTAGTCTGTGGTCAAATTGAGATTAGATTAAATATTGTTTGTCATTATTAATATTTGTTCAAAGTGTAGTCTTGGCGAAATCTATGATTCTAAAAGTATAACAGTCTTTGACAATAGAATCATAATAATGTTCAACCTTATAATTTTAAATAATTACCTACAGTAGAATTTCGACTACTGCGGGACCACTAGTACACGTAAATTAGTTATAGATAAGGAACTCAAGCACTCAACAAAAATGTTTACGGGCGTCGGCCACTAGATGGCTTCACCAATTCTCTTCTCTTCTTTTCTCGCATAAACCACGTTGTAGAAGGCATAAGCGTGAATCACCATTTTAACGTTTTAAATTTATCCGTTGTCCTATTTCGCCAATTTTGTGTAAGTAGGTACCTACTCGTATTGCTAAAACGATTAAACACATTTGTATCTAAAGAATCTCTCAATAGTTTAGTTAAAAAAAAAAACAACAATGCGCCATGTTAAATAAAGAAAAACTAAAAACCTAAACGAATATCTTAATCAATTCAAAACAAGTTTGTCGTATTTTGATCCAAGTAAAATTGCTTTACCCTCCTAACTTGCGTGAAAAAAAACCAAAAAAGCAAAAGATACATTTGTTTTTTTTAGTATTCGTCAAATTTGTTCCATTCTTAGAAAAACCATTACGTTTAAATTAATACATAGGGATGTACACACATGTAAAAGTTTCAATTCCAACAAATAACACGAGTCAAACACAAATTTTGCTGAGACGAGTGTAGCTTTAAAAAAAAAAAAAAAAAGACGCCTACATTAGGATACGTACATAATTAATCCGTATTCCAACTTTAATTTACTCAGCGTAAAAAGACAAATTAAGTAGCGTAGGATATACAGAGCCGAGATAACGGTTCACGTTAAATGAAAACATGGCTTTTCCAAATCTCAGCTCATGAAATATCTTAGTAAAAATTATATTATATTTATTTAAAGAAATCAAAAGATATTTATCCGAGCCAAATTAAATAGATATTATAGAAAGGCAAAATCCACAACAATTCAGCGCTTGTTCCTCTGTACGTCAACCGATTTTAAGATTTTTTAGCAGTTGACGAGCTTTATCACTAAAAACACTTCAAGAACAAAAGACAACGTTTAAACCACAAAAATTGAATGTCTTGCGATGCGACAATGGTCGAATTTCGATCATTGAGCGAACAATAGTAGTGATGTTTTAAAACAAATTTGATTGCTGTCTCTAATGGCGCATATGCTAATAATACTTCAACAGCCGAATTCTTAAGTAGCACCGATGGTAAAACGTATTGTCAGACCACATAGGTAATATGCCATAACAATACGATTAAATTAAACGTGAAATGGTTGAGATAGTTTTTGCGAGGCACTGCTCTTGCTTGGGCTAGTGTTAGCAAATTCTCTCAGGTTGATCCCGTGAGCTCACCTACTCGTCTGGGCATAGCTGGAATAGCCTCTAAGGCTACCGGCAAAAAGGCAGGAGAAAAAAATAATTGCAGTGAATACTGGTGGTAGGACCTCGTGTGAGTCCGCACGGGTAGGGACCACCTCGCCGTCTATTTCTGCGGTGAGGCAGTAATGCGTTTCGGTTTGAAGGGTAGGGCAGCCGTTGTAAATATACTGATATTTTAGTACCCGTATCTCAAGGTGGGTGGGGACATTTACGTTGTAGATGTCTATGGGCTCCAGTAACCACTTAACACTGGGTGGGCTGTGAGCTTGTCACCCACCTAAGCAATATATAAAAAAAACCAGTAAGTATAAATTCAGTAATTACGGAAATTTAAAAGCTCTTTTAAGTTTCAAAAGTAATGCAATTCTAATTTAAGCAATTGCGAACTTCATTTAAAATTTCTTTTTAGAAGCTCGACGTTTCGTGATCCAGTAACTTGTAAATTAAAGTCTCTTGAGCTTCAAGACTATAATTCAATTCGGTACATTTCACCTTCCGAGTTGTATTCCAGTTTTGTAACGAGATAGTAGTATAATGCTTTGAAAAGATACTCAAACAAGTTTCTCTGACAAAGCTGGCTTCATCTTCCTTGCGAAGTTATATCGAATTGACTTGATTAGAGGGAGCAAAATGATTTAAACTATTTGCGATTTTGTTTTTAAAAAGTTTATTGTATTTAAAACTTTTGTTTTTAAATGAAAATTTAAACCCGTATTATAAAATTTTGGTTTATAATTTTGGAATTAATGAGTAAAAAATACTAAAATCCTTCAGTGTTGATAGGATACGAAGACAATATTGGTTGACAAACATTTTCCTAAGAATGTGAATCCTAGAAATCTTTGTATCGCTATTGATGGAATGCCAAGCAGTAGTCAATGTTCCGCATCAATTGAGATGAGAAATTCTGGTTTCCAATGCATTCGGCTGCGGTTTGATTTGGAAAACGCACAGGGAATAACGCTGAATTGTGGTTTTTGAGAATGGGTAGAGAATTAGCTTGTATTGAAAATGTGTTGTTGACAAAGATAGAATTTCGTAACTTACAAAATAGTACGTCTGATGAAACTAATTCAAGAATCTAATTTTTTTTTATTCTTGGTGAATTCGGTCAATGTATTAGGCCAAAGTAATAAATATATTTTATTATTATAGGTCTTAGGAGCCTTGGACAATTTCTCGAGTTAGACGAACCTCATGAAGTTAGTGAAAATTTTATTAAAAAATTCGGTTACATAGAAAAACAGTAGTCAGCAGAAGTCAAACTAGGAAAAGTGTGTTTTTTTTTATTGCTTAGATGGGTGGACGAGCTCACAGCCCACCTGGTGTTAAGTGGTTACTGGAACCCATGGACATCCACAACGTAGATGCGCCACCCACCTTGAGTTATAAGTTCTAAGATCTGAAGTGTAGTTACAACGGCTGCCCCACCCTTCAAACCGAAACGCATTACTGCTTCACGGTAGAAATAGGCGGAGTGGTGGTACCCATCCGAGCGGACTCACAAGAGGTCCTACCACCAGTTTAAAAAAAAATCTGTATCAATTAAAAAGTTAATGTTACACAACAAATTAATAACTTACCGTTCGTCTTCGAGTTCGTAAAACATGTCCTTGGATGAGTCGTGAATGTAGATTTTAACCATAGGGCTGTCCATATATTGCATAGTAAGTTGTTTTGGGAAACTTCTAACAAATAAAGCTTTAACTGTGTCGATTGATGTTATTTCATTTGGCAGGAGGGCACGCTTGGTTTCGTTTCTGTACTGCAGGAACACCAAACCTGAAACAAATGTCCGAATTAAACAAAGTGAGCATAGCATGATTACTTAAAATTTACCCATTTGTTTAGTGGTAGCCAATAGCCCAACGTCACCTCAACACGAATGTCTGTCACTACGGGACATGACATCGAAGTTTCAATTGTATTTAAATGGTGGCTGTTCTAACCACTAATTTGAAGCTTTTAAATCAATTATTCGCAATTATAACGGGAAGGCCTTTCCAGTTTCACCAGGATAGGTGGGCGAGCAAAGGCTCATCCAGGAGGGGTGGGATTTGCTAACAACTGCCCGAGCGCCTCCGAAGGAGACCTAACAACTCAAGAGCAATTGCTTCGCGAATGAATCTACTACCGGATCGGAATCGCGACCCGCTGAGAAGATCCGGCGAGAAACTCAGCGGGCTGATGTATGGGTTAGGTTGCACGGCGAACTCTTTGTCGAGTTCGACAAGTATAGTTATCGGGGTCCCTAAGCCTGCTCCTAGTATTAGAGCTGAATGCGTCTAATGCAAAAGTTATTGGATCTGATGGATCCGTAAGGACGTGATGCGAGATGTCACGGCTACTGAACCACTTCATCGGCAGGCTATTTGAAGCACACCTAGATGAACTCGGGACTTGTACCTCTGGGATATTTCCAGGGTTAGAATCGGCGTGGGTTGGTGACTACGGTTATCTATCACTTGCTTTTTTATCATCTTTACTTCTTATTCCTTCGTACCATCGAGGGGAACCGCCACAAACTGGCCTATCGAGCAGAAACGAAACACTCAGGGACCCAAGATTCGAGTGATTTCTCCGTTAGGGCTTTCGACTCGCAGTCGAAGGGCCTATGTGGAGAGAAGAGCGGTCTCTTAAACACCTCGCCGCCTACCTCTGAAAGATTGTGTACGCAGAATTTCAGCCTCACTCCCTGTTATGGCCACTTCAAAGCATCGTGGCTACAGTGCTAAATGCAAATATGTACCGATTTGTGCGACGAAGACACTAAGCCACTGCTCCCATGCGAGGCAGATCGCAAGCGTGTGCTCGCTGTCGTCTCAGTTCCAATCTGATGTGGGCATTTCTTGAAGCGATCATGCTAGAACAGCGGTCGGGTAATCGGGATAAATTACCCCAAATGGGGTAAAATGAAATTTTGGGGGATAAAAATGAAACTTCTGTGAATAAAAAGTATATATTGAAGTGAAACTTCTTTAGAATCGTTAAATTTTTACTTATTGTTTTCTTCTCAACATTATCATGGGGGTTATAATATGAAAGATGCTAAAAAGAAGCGATTTCGTTTTTTTTTTTTTGTTCTTCGCCATGGGGTAATATTAACTTACACAAAAATATTTGAACAATAATAATTAAAAAATTATAAATTAAAAAAGTTCTCCGACCGCTGTGCTAGAACAACTGCTAGCACCAGCCAGATTGTAGGCAGTATATATTATCAGATTCTAAGATCGGAAAACCAAATTGAGGTTTATAAATTTTATGAAATCTGAAAATTCTTTGATGTTTGAATTAAAAAAAAATGGAACTCGACATAATGATTTAATAAATAAAAAATTAAAAGCACTTTCAACATTAACAACTAAACTACATAAATGATGTCTAATAAAATAATAACAATATCTTATCCGCGTAATGTCTAATTCGTGTTATAATATAAGCAAAATTTTGTACTGTCTAACACTGAAATCATGTTTTACAAGTACAGGCTATACGAGTACCTACATACAAGGCACACATGTGTTTGTAGGAAAATTAATAAATAGGACGTAATTATTTCATCTTCCAATTTCCAGGGACACAAACAATCTGTCAGCAATATTATGTATAACCCTTACTGGTGGTAGAATCTCTTTTGAGTGCGCACGGATAGATACCACCACCCTAGCCTTTTTCTGCCGTGAAGCAGTAATGGGTTTCGTTTTGAAGGGTTGGGAAGCCGTTGAAACTATACTGAGACCTTAGAACTCATATCTCAAACTAAGTGGCGGCATTTACGTTGTAGATGTCTATCGTCTATGGGTCAATAAAGACAGAATACAAAAATCGTAATCTAATCATCATAATGTCCAATTACCATTTAATTATTTTTTTCTACAAAGCCGTTTTTGCAGTAGGAAGCCTTGAAAAAGTTATTCATTCAAATTAAATAATACATTTAAAATAGGAATGGCTTGAAAATTGTTGCTTCATTTCAGTTTCGCAATTATGCAATGCAATTATTTTCAATACGATTTCTACATCTCTGATAAATTACTCTAACAGTGATTAGATTTACCTCTGCAGTTTTAATTAGAGAGCGCTTTTTGCTTGAACGCCAGCACGGCTTTCAATTATCGCACGCAAATGAAATAAGTGTTCGATGCCAGTCCAGATTTCTGTGTTTCTTTTAATCGGCATTTCAATATTCATTAAACAGTCCGAATATTATTGTTAGGAACTTTTATAATAAAATCTATTAGCTCTTCTTATAATTTCCTTTCTTCATTCTATCATAAGCTAGCTTTTATTGAACAAGTTCTTGATTCGAACGTAGCATTATTATGTTTACTAGAGGTCCCGCAGTAGTCGAAATTCGACTATAATTAATTGGAATTGTAAGTTTGTACACTATTATGATTGTATTTTATACTTCTATAATCACAAATTTCGCCAAGACTACACTTTAAAAAAATATTAATAAAGACAAACAATACTTAATCTATTCTCGAATTGACCACAGACGTCAAGAACAAAAGTTTGACAATAAATAGTATGCATGCGTGTGGGCGTCAAATACATGGTATGTAGTGTGTGTAATGTTTTCTTTATTGATTTAATGTATATTTTATGCATTATTTAAAAAAAATATTAGCATTGTGCACTTCTTCTCTATATTCTCTATAAGTGTAGAAAATTTAATACTCCTCCGTCCGCGCAATTTTCGTAAAAAGGGATACAAAGTTTTTGCTTCACGTATTAATATATAGATTGTTGTGCTACTAAATAAACAGAAGTCACTAATATTAACTGTACTATTTCTTATCAACAGCGACAAATGTATAAATCAGTGCGTAATATCGACAAAAAATGTGGTGAGGCAGCGAACATCACTACGAATGCGAACAAAGATCTCACTCACACCGCAATCGTTGATTTTCATGATACCTTAATTTCCATAATGTAATTGCCTAATAATAATATGCGGTCAATTTCTATTCGATTTACGCACGGAATTCATTTTGCAGCTTAATCTATGCTCGGTTTTGTTTGGAGTTGCGATTACAGGTACAATGCTAACATTAATTGCTAACGTTAATGTTTGCTTATTTTAAATCATACACGAGTATTATATAAAATTGACATGAGCCATTACTTTACAAAAATTAGCGCGGAAAATTTTGTACTATTTTTATCTTACTATAATGAAAGCTTCTTTAGCACCGTTGTGATTTGAAACTGTAATTGAAAAGGCGATAAACATACGCATCTAAATGATTTATCCTGTTAGAGGATGAGGTTTATCTATAGGATTTAGGGATTCGTAAAGATGAAGGGTTTATGTTCTAAGGTCTCAGTTGTACAACGGCTGCCCCACCCTTCAAACCGAAACGCATTACTGCTTCACGGCAGAAATAGGCATGGCGGTGGTACCCACCCGTATGGACTCACAAGACGTCCTACGACCAGTAATTACGCAAATTATAATTTTGCGGGTTTGATTTTTATCACACAGTGTTATTATTCCTTCACCGTGGAAATCAGTTGTGAAGATTTGTTAAGTACGTATTTCATTAGAAAAATTGGTACCCGCCTGCGGGATTCGAACACCGTTGCATCGCTTGATACGAATGCACCGGGCGTCTTATCCTTTGGGCCACGACGACTACAAAACAGGTAACAAGCTTGAAATATGTAACATGTAATAAGCTTGAAACTTTCAGAACCCGTTCGTTGAACGCAAATTTTTAAGTGAATATCACCAATTCGTTGCAAGTGCAGTCCTGATTAAATGAAAAAAAAAAAGGTTTTTGATGAAGAAACTTAGTAAGCTTTTTCGCCGAGCGTAGCTTGAAACGTACATATTGAATACATAATTACTTCTGAAGAGCTTTTCACAGTATTCAAAGGAATTAACATAAAATTAAAAGTACAAAACGATTTTCAATTTAATTTTGAGTTCTTTTCTTTAGTGCAGGAACTACATATATAAGTTCGTATTATGCAGTCAACTTATTTAGAAAAAGTTTAGCGGAAGGAACGATTTTCAGTTATTCAATAAGTATCTTATTTCTTCTACTTTCATTACTACTACCTTAATTTAGATTCAGGATCCCGCACTATGACTTCAGTTTGGTGTCTGTTCTCGAAATTGGAAGCAGAATGTCGAAGATAAGTAACGTAATCAGGAAAACTTGTTCTAGACTTCTACATCGGTCTATTACTGGCGTACATTATCACCCGATTTACGTCAATTTTCATATCAATGTGCTTCGTTTTTTACCATATTTTGCATCTCATGTATTGTCATGGTCAATTGCATAGCTTATAGTATCTTTGAATTTAAAAAGGTTTTTTTTAATTTATTTCTTAGATGGATGGACGAGCTCACAGCCCACCTAATGTTAAGTGGTTACTGGAGCCCATAGACATCTACAACGTAAATGCGCTACCCACTTCGAGATATAAGTTCTAAGGTCTCAGTATAGTTACAGCGGCTACCCCACCCTTCGAACCGAAACGCATTATTGCTTCACGGCGGAAATAGGCGGGGTGGGGGTACCTACCCGTGCGAACTCCCAAGAGGTCCAGTGATGAAAAGTGAGTTCTTACCGAGCGGTCTCTCCAGCGTCTTGCTCGGCGTCCTGACTACAGGTAAAGAGGACCTCTGCTTTCCTCCCCTCCTGAAGCCAGTGGACGCCGTCTCGACCTCCGACATGATTCCAGGGTCTTCGTCGTATAGAAGACTGTTGGTGGGTGGCGGATAGCTCCGTGGCAGGGGAGGCTGGTGACAAAAAAAAATGAATAAAATACAAGTGCCTCTGAGCTTAGGTCACCGTTTCAATTCAAACCTTGGCTCTGGACCAGTGGTGTTGTTAATTGTTGTAACATTAAATAGTTTTTAATAAATAAAAAATACGGTAATTAATTTAAAATACGTAGCTAGATTAGTATTAGTTTTAAGAAGAAAAAGAAATGTTAGTATTTTATTATAATAAAAAAGTATTTTTAATTTATTAAAATTACTTAGAAGTCAAGCTGGCTTAGATAAAAGATAACAAAAAATGCACAAGCATGCAGATTGTATAGTTTTATACATTTGGCATTAAAATGCCTAGTCTAATGCTTGCACTTATTTTGTATTCAGCATTTAGTTTTAGCTTATATTCACAAAATTTCTCAATTTTATTCGTACCATTTCATGTAAAATCCAGCAATCCAGTTCTTTCGATATTTATTATAGTTATCTAGATGTATGGATTAGTTGGCTTACCAATACAGGATTGGAGCTAGACTGAAGTAAAATATAAAAATAATAAAAAAGTTGGAGTGCGGCTGAAAATGTATACGAAAGATATTATCGAAATCATATTTCACTGAAAATAAGATTTCGGAAATAAGAACGAAAGAATAAAGAAAATAAGAACTCTTCTCGGTTTAAATAGTATTAGAGCTCTAATTAAATATACTAGATTATAGTAAAGTGTCCTTCATTATAAATCCAAGCAAATCATAATAAGGAGATGCTATAATATATGAAAGTATAATGACATTATCGTTTAAATCGACCTCTTTTAGACAACTGCTAGATAGTCAAGAATAATGAGAATACAAAAAGTTAACAGCTGTGTACTTACAGTTTATAAATAAACAAATAAACTGAGGAACGATACACACGTAGTAATCTAAAATTTAGGATTCAAATATTATAAAGAGTTCAAGGCAGAGTTCATCAGAGAGAGTATAATACTCCCCCAGGTATTTTCCGAGCGCTATGGCATACATATTTTATTATGAGATTTGAGGCCAATCCTCGAATGTAAAAAACTATTACCGCTTAGCACAAGTTACTTCATATACGACTTGAAAGCATCAGGAAGGATAATATCTAACTATAGAGAATCAGATTGTATTTGACTGATCAGGTATTATGATACTAATAAAAGGATGAAACTTACTTGTTTTGAAAATTTGAACTTGTCTTATAATATTGGCAGACATGTTAAGGTTTGAAAATAATGACATATACGACTTGAAAGTATCAGGAAGGTCCAAGATAATATCTAACTCCAAGGTCCAAGATAAAATCAACAACCAGATTGTATTTGACTGATCCGGTATTATGATACTAATAAAAGGATGAAACTTACTTGTTTTGAAAATTTGAACTTAAGTCTTATAATATTGGCAGACATGTTAAGCTTTGAAAATAATGACAATCATAGTAGCAGTTCCCTATCATATTACCTGCAATCGTTTTTGTTAGTGTTGGAATTGGAGCATGGAATACAGATCCCACAGCTGCTATTCAAATGGAAACCATAATAATGAGTTGTTAAGGAAAAATATAATAAACTAGCGGCCCGCTTCGGCTCCGCTCGGGTCTTTAACAAAAATTTCAACGATATTTGACGTTCTTTTATTTTTTAAATAAAAGAACACTTATTGAGGCATAACTAGTTTAATAGTTAGACATATGCTGTCTCGACACTTTTTGTAAATAATAATGTATTCTACAAAGTCGTAGCACATTATTTTATTCTATCATGAATAGTTTTCGCAGAGCACGCGATGTAAAGAATATTTTAGGTATTTTATTTACACCTTGGGTTACATTATTGGAGTTTTAGTAAGGATCCCTAATTTTTTTCAAAAAAGATTATAGCCTATGTTACTCAGGAATAGTGTAGCTTCCAAACAGTGAAAGAATTCAAATAGGTTCGGAGCCTATTTAATACAAACAAACAAACAAATCTTTCCTCTTTATAATATTATAAGTATAGAAGTATAGATAAGCCATGGAAATGAATTTCGAACGAAAAGTTCATAATGAGAATATTTTGGTTTCACTTAATAAAGATATCAATTGAATTGTCCTGGAAAAATTTCGCTTTCGATTAAAATAAATATTAGGTATTCGGCAACAAATCATTCGTTGAAAAAGTATCGTCGTTTAAAAAGTAACGGAAATCAATGTAGGTATATACGACAGCTTTTTAACTAAAAGTTGAAAATAATTCAAGTTCTACTGCAACTATTATGAAAGTATAACACGTATATTTTTCCTGTTTTTAATTTTAAACGTACATTTAAAATGTTAATTAAATATTAATTTAATCTTGAATTTAAAAATTCCATTCATTAGTCAGCCTTTGCATATTGGTGGAAATTATTTCATTTACCATAACTCTTCCCAAATTCCACCAAAACTTTCAGTTTTATTTCACCGTCAACAGCCCGCAATCGTCCACTGCTGGACATAGGCCCAGGGCCGGACTTAAACTTAATGCCGCTCCTGGGCACCGGAAAAAATCCGCCCCAATACCGGAATTTTACCTAAACTTATAGTTTATATATTTTATTTTTCAAAATTAAAATAACTAATTTATTGCGAAAACTTTATCATATGTCATATATTCCAAAAAAATAAATACATAAATATTTGTTCTTTTCCTAACCATTATAAATTTTGATTAAGGGGGACTCATAGTTATATTAAATAAATAAATAAATAAAACAATAAAATTTCGTTAATTACAGAAAATAGAAAAATTGATTATAATTTTAAATCTCCAAGGAAATAAATGGATTAAATCATTTTGATTATTAATTTGTACCAAAAGTGCCAAATTATAATTCACAAATAATGGATGGATTGAATTTCTTGAGTTATCAATTAAAAAGAAAATTATTAATTATTAGAATTAATTAATTTTATTTAGCAATGTTGGTAAGATTAAAAAAACAATTTTTACTCTCAAAATTGTGCCGCCCTAAAAAAATTGCCGCTTTTCTTTTCGTATAGCGACTTTTAATAATATATTATTATAATAGTATAAGTTTAATAATCTTATTATAATAGTATTATTTAAATTGGACTAGATGGGCTGTGAGCTCGTTTACACATCCAAACAATAAAAGTAAAAAAAAATGTGCGTTATAAATCAGTCCTAAACTGAGACAATAGTTTCCGGATTTTCTTCGGTTTTCCCAAGACATAGACGTACGTAATTAAAATTTCTTTATGATTTAATCCCTTCTTTTTTTAATTTTTGTTAGATTACTTCAGACGCTTTGAAAACTTTACGGTTTTCTTGGTCACCGGCGACTAAGGTGTTAATCGTCGTCATTTGAACATTGTGCCAACAAGCTTCTCTATTTTTCTACAGTAGCTATATATAAATTATTAATAGTCTTTTTTTTAGAAATTTCACACCAAACGGACTAATAATAACAAAAAAAGGCAAAATTAATTAAACTTTGCGAAATTGAAAATATCAAAACAAATCAAAATGTTACTGAAGCAATTATGATAAAATGTAAACGGCGATATATTTGATAGCGGATCAATAAATATAACAATTTGCTAACAAACACGGACCCTCAGAAAAGTTTAGCAACTGATATTCGTGAACTTTGTTTACTTTATAATGTTTATTTTGAACTAAATAATATACTAATAATTCCAGTATATTTTATAACGCAAACACGAATAAATTACGAACAACATAATCAATACCAACTATGTAGTTTCAAGCTTGTAATTGTAGACATCAATTTAGGTAGATCAGATACATTTGAAACTGCGTTGGAAGTTTGGGAGGCTTACGACGAAAGGAAGATCTTCTACCGAGCTGGTGATATTTGCTCGGTAGACCGACGGTCGTGGTGAGGCTGCAATGCTGGCTTGCTGTGGGACGACTGTTGATGACTTTGTTTTTATCTGCAAGAATGCAGGAATGGTAGTAGCCGAAGTTTTTGATGCACTGATGATGAATGTGAAGGCTGCAGTTATTCCGTCGCAGGTCACCAGTTTTGGGGCTGCTTAAACGCAAAGGGAAAATTTTCCACCAGGCGGGTGATATTTGCTCGGTAGACCGACGGTCCAAATGTTGCTATTCGGAACTTGTATATATGCGAGCTTATCTTGAAAATGGCGTAAGCGAGATTTAGGCATTTGTCAAATATCTTGCGTTGTATGGTGGCTACCCGCCACAGAAGTTTTAATATCACTAACAAATTTAAATAATACTATTACAATAAGATTGGAAAGTCGCCATGCCTATATGATACGAAAAGAAAAGCCGTACACGTAAGACGAGCGAGGTCAGATTAGAATTTATGTTCAAGTACATTTGAATTCACTTTGCGCGCTCTTCGATCGGTTTGAATGCAGCGAGAGAAAACGCATTGATATCCGTTTAAAAGACTACGTGATTAGATTGAAAAACGTTTAGTATATATTAAATAAATTACATATAGTAAATAAAGCGATTCCAACTGTCTACAAGTTGTATCAAATTAAGTTCATCCAAAGAAGTTAGATTTATAAATTCAAAACTTAGATTGTTCATAGATCCGGGTCGGGTGTCGCTTCGGGTGCTTTATAAAATACGGCACCGACTTTGCGGCAACTATTCAGAAGAGCTCATTCAAGTTTGAGGATTATTCACAAGATTTGAATATTGGACTGAAAGCATCCTGCGGTCGACTGATATGGGACAGCGCTCTGAGTAGTACTAAACGGAATAATGTTTGGAATTCTAACTCTCGGGGAAACGCTTAGATTTTCGTATACTTGAGACTGACTTATTGAGAGTCGTATAATGTGAAATCATTTTATTGTGTGTTTAAACTTTATTGTACATATCGTATCGACACAATTATGAACACAAAAAAAGCAAAGTTTTTTTTTTTTTATAATCCAGAAAATTCTATCGTTCATAACAATTCAGGTAATTACAGCATTAAGTTAGAAAAAAGCATCTATATATGAATATATACTATATACTATACTTGAAGCAAAAACTTTGTATCCCTTTTTACGAAAATTGCGTGGACGGAGGATTAAGAAATTTCTCACACTTATAGAGAATACAGCGAAGGAGTGCAGAATGATAATTTATTTTTTAAATTATGCATTATTAATACATTAAATCAATAAAAAAACATTACACACACTACCATGTATTTGACAACACACATATTTATAATCTATGTTTATTGCCAAACTTTCGTTATGCTTAAAGTCTGTGGTCAAATTGAAAATAGGTTAATATTGTTAATCTTTAATATTATTTGTCTACAGTGTAGTCTTGGCGAGATCTGTGATTATAGAAGTATAATAGTTTTTGAAAATTGAACCATAATAATGTTCACACTTATAATTTCAGTTAATTATAGTCGAATTTCGACTACTGCGGGATCACTAGTACGTATAAAATGACGATCGGAGCGAAAAATGTTATAAAAAAATTTTAAACTTCAAAATTCAATGATTCAAACGTATTCAAGCAAATTTACCACAAAAGGGGGCTTAACTAAATATTTTAGAAGGTAAATACAGTAATGTTTTTGATAGACATTTAAAAAATCTGTTAATCACACCCTCACATAGAGAAACGTTAGCGTTTTGTTAAGTTATCATAATATTTGCCTTTGAAACACTGTTCGAGGCGTACCGTTATCATGTGGCACGTAGGCGTCAGTATCAGCTTCATATGTTACGTAGCTCAGACGAATTCAATATCGAATGGATGAAATAAACGTACCAACTGTTCTTACTGACAGCTAAATAAAGAAATTGCACGAACTAAATGAGAACAATATTTGATATAATAGAAATTGAATCGGTATTGAGTTTCAATTCATTTGGAAACCTTACCTACCTAGCCTTGATATATTCTCGGCTTGGTGTAATTGAGTATGCGAATATGTTAATTTATTACCACGCTAATATATGTTGTATATTGTTAAGTTAAGGTAACTATTAGTAGAAACAATAACGATTTCTCATTGTATCAAAACGATGCACTTTCCTCGGGTAGTTCGAGAGTTTCATGAAGAATATTATTTAAGAAAAGTTTTCCAATTGCAGTTTTTGATCCCTTACTAAGGATCTTTGCGAGCTAAAGCTAGAGAGAGGAGATATCAGGGAAAAGTGATTGTAACCGTTAAATTCCCCTTTTGTCATAACAAAACTGTACACTATTGTCTCTTACAAATGCAGAGACAGCTCCGCCTGGAAATGTTGCGATTGTTCTTATTTAGCTGGTGTCCGATTTGCTCTTTCTATCTGTTTTCCTCTACCAGAAACTATATCTTGATTTCATAACCTTTTAGTAAAAATTTGTGGACTAAAAAAGGTAAACATCACATACATTGTTGCTTAATCTTTTACATAATATGTATTTGATTGTATAAAAAAAACTTTTCTCATTACACCAGAAATGAATTTCATCGGAAAATCGATGTAAACTTTTCATGTTATACTACGAAAAACATGAAAGCAAATTTTAAGCGAACATATTTGAAATTGGTCTCACTAAAACTAGCACGGAGCGCAGGATTACAAATGAAGCTTCTGTGATTAATGAGTACATTTTTTATTTGAATGCGATAATTAGTAATATTAGAGAGGCCAAGAGCAGTATTACAAAATTAGTGGCATTCAGAAATTATATTTGAAGGTTTCTTAAATAAGTTTTTGTTAGTCGAAGGTTCGAAACGCCGTATAAATCTGTTAGTATGTATTATCATGCTTCGTCCAAACCTTCCTCATTCTCGGGTCAGAGACACGGCTTTGTCCGCTAGCCCGAGGCTTCATTACAGATGCGTATTCCGAAGGCTTAGCTGACCGTTGTCCGCTCCTGGGTAGCTGATTAAATAAAAATAAATTAAAATAAAAATAAAAATGAGTTTTTCCATTAATAGTATGTCGGAATTAAAACTGTGAAATAAATAAATAAATTACTTTTAAAAATATCTGCCGTTAAATAACAACGGTAGACGAAGTAGATTTGAATCATGTGATTTTATTTCGTTGAATCTGTATTAATTTGTCTCTGATCCGGACTCTATCGATTTCGATACCGAGCCTTGTTCTTTTTTCAAGTAATATCATGAAAACACTTGTTGAATATCAAAACACGCTATGTCTACCAACGATTTCAACCGGCGAAACAAATTCAGCGGCTTAAAAAAATTCTTTAATTTAATTTATTGTGATTCATTTTTGTTCATTCCTTTGTTCATAAGTTCACAAGATCTTGAGGGGGATCTAGAATAGGGGAACGACGCTAGGACACACAGTAATCCGGATGGATTCCTCTAACTGCATCATTTTGGTGGGGGAGGTGGTTTATCGTGTTCCTTCTTATTTCGAAACAGCAGTAATCTATGAAATGAAGTCATATATTAAGAAAAAGAAGACTACTATGAGGGACAACAAGCGGCTCGGCGACAATAGTGGTTTATAAGTTTCTTTCTTTTAAGTTCCTTTGGAGGAAAACGTAAATTAAAATTGGTCAGATTTTTTGAATCGTTATAATTTATATGACATTATTTAGTAAAAAAAATCCACTATTTTAATACACCTGCTGTTTATAGAGCCTATGACTATGGCTAAGATGCTGGATGTACTATCGTATCGAGTGATATTAAAACCTTATCCGCTAATTTAATAACTAGTTAATTGAGTATTTAACATCCGGTGTAACATGAGCGCGTTCTTCGTATCTATAATTGCTAGTGTTTTGCTCAGTGATCAAAACTCGACCTTGATGACTGACTTATTAAGACCTAAACTAATATAACGCATCGAATTTTATCTTTTGTTTTAATATTAGCGTAGTATCTTGTATAGCTAGAAAAAACTGCTTCTATTTTTTTGCTAACACAGGAATTCGCCTATACCTAATAAAACATTACAAATCAAAATTTTTTGAAAAGCATACTGAACTGTTTTGTCTTTAGATATTTCAATTGATAATGTAAAAAAACCGATCTTATATCACAAAGTGAGCAACAATGTTCATACTGTCCTATCTGTAGACTCCAAAAACTGCTTATAGCCGTGTGAACACTGAATTCATTAGCCGTTACTCCAATTAGCGCTTTTGAAACAGACCGACTCATGTTTCAATATACAACGAACGGTTATTTCATACATACGTGAACTCGAAATACACGTAAGTCAATAGTAATTATACACGAGCTTCCACGTAATCGAACCGTTAAAGCTACAATTACGCCCGATACTCGAGTTCTGAGATATTTGGAACGCAATTCGTTTGAGAATTATTCGAATTTCACAATTAAAACGAAATTAATCACCGTGTTTTAACTTGGGTAATGTTTTCTTAGAAATGCTTCTTCTTCTCTTTCTCCACCTTATCCCACTAGGTGGGTTCGGCACAGCTAATTTTTCTCTTCCATTCTCTTCTATCAGCCGTCATCTCAACACTCACTCCTCTCTCTCTCATATCGTCATTCACACACTCCATCCATGTCTTCTTCGATCGACCTCTTCCCCCTCTACCTTGCACTACCATTTCCATACATCTCCTCATTTCTTAGAAATGCTTGGAACTCGATAAATCAAATGATGTACATACGTGCAGTTTGAATTTTAGATTCAGTATAAGCACTGAAACGTTTTTTTAAGACTTTAAGGTTGTAAGTTGATACAGGCTGTTCCAAAACTCAACGATAGCAAATGACATCGGGTGAGAGCTCAAGTTATACCGTGTCACTCATTTAAGCGATAATAGACATTTCTTCAGAAAAGCTTAAAATCCTTGCCCGTATTTTTAAGTACTGTGATCATAAATTTTACAATTATGTTAACTTTTTTGATGGCGTAATCTAAAATAGCGGCGCCATTAATCGCGACCACAGATCAACATAATAAACATTTTCATCTTTGGATTCACTGGATTTCATCTTTCAACAGCATGATTTCTTTTTTCCTTTTTTCTAAACTGGTATAACTTGGCCTCTTACTCGGTATCAGGTTATCATTGAGTATAAGATATTTATCAAAAATCACACCCTGTATAAGATATTTATCAAAATTTATTAGAATATTTAATTATATGCTTAAAAAAGTGTTTTGTAATTTAAACAACATTTTATTAAAAAGTCGGAAAAGCCATTTAATTACATTTACGTGTGAATCCAATTTACTTCAAATAATTATAAACTTCTAGATATCAAACTTAATCGAATAGATGATTAAAATGTAATTCACAACACTAAAATAAAGCGCTTGGCTTTGTGAAAAGACTGTTCACACAATAAAAAAATAAATTCATTTAAATTCTTCATTTCAAATTTCTCCGCAGTATCCTTAAGTGTAGCTGTCAGCTATGTGCAGTAGAAGATACATTAATCTTTTACAGTTAACACGACACTTCTTAAGTAAAAATTGCAATTTTATTTTTATTTTTTTTATTGCTTAGATGGGTGGACGAGATCACAGCCGACCTAGTGTTAAGTGGTTACTGGAGCCTATAGACATCTACGACGTAAATGCGCCACACACCTTGAGATATAAGTTCTTCTCAAGTATAGTTACAACGGTTGCTCCACCCTTCAAACCGAAACGCATTACTGCTTCACGGCAGAAATAGGCAGGGTGGTGTTACCTACCCGTGCGAACTCACAAGAGGTCCTACTACCAGTAAACGTACGCTTTATCTGTGTATCACACGTCATCATAGGGCGTCTAAATCGAAGGAAATATTTTTCACTAAGAACCGCCTCGTCCTCTGATACATTGGCCGATTTACTTGATTTAGATTTGTAAAACCACAAGCAAATCAGTACAACTGATATGGACTCTCAAGAGCCATTTGATTTGATTTGGTTCTGTGACTTTTAATTATCACTTTAAATAGCCTTTTCCTGGTTTTTATATATTATGATTTTACTTAGACGAGCAATGTATTTATCTACATTCCTGAACATTTAGGTGATTTATGGGATGTTCAGTATTTTTTTATTCAGTAGGATAGATAAAACTGAAATTGTATGATAACAGCGTTTAATGGCATCGTATAATAAAAAGCAAACCCAAAAAATACAATCTTCCCCTGTGAGCTCTCAGGATACAGCAGCATAACTAATATACATATATAATTATATTTATCTTCACGGTCTGTAGTAGCCTTATAACATTAGGTGGAACAGCCCAGATAGAGCAACTTTTGTGATCTAATATTTTATACATCTCGTGTTTTATACATTAACTAGCGACCCGCCCTCGCTTCGCTTCGGAAACATTAAAACACACATGAAACCAAAAAAATAAAATAAAAAAAAATTAAAAAAAAGTAGCCTATGTTCATCAGGGACAATGTCGGCTTCTAATGGAAAAAGAATTTTTCAAATCGGTCTAGTAGTTTCGGAGCCTATTCGAAACAAACAAACAAACAAATATTTCCTCTTTATAATATTAGTATAGATATAGATTGATTTACATATTCCATTAAACATTTACTTTCGTTTAGCGCAATTTTTATTACTGAATAGAGAAATGTAACATAAAAGAAAAGTATTTCTTGTGGAAAGTCAAGCTGAGATTGCTTCGACTAATGGACACGGCAAAAATTGCGCAGGAAAAGTATAAAAGGAAATATTTTGTCTGCTTCAATAACGACGATGCAACTGAAAACACAATAAAAAATATTACAGGAATAGTGTTTTCCTTTCAAAAAGTATTGTAGCTTTTACGGGAATTAATTCAGAACAGTAGAACCAAGCACAAAGTCCGATTCGAACGGTTTTGTTGCTTATAATAACAGATAATTTGGTATATTTTGGGCATATTGCCAGAAGAAGTCCTGAGGACCTGGAACGGTTGATGGTGACAGGACAAGTGGAGGGGAAAATGCCAGGAAGTCGAAGCCCAATACGCTGGACGGATCATATTTCCCCCCTGCTGGATATAACTCGCGTCTTCCTTAACCAAGCGGTGGATGGAGAAATACAGTAGAAAGAATGACACGATCATAAGCCGTGAACGAACGATTAAGAAGAAAAAACTCATTTAATCGGGCAGTTATATAAATATCTACATAAAAATAATAAATATGCACGATTATAACTGTTACTCATAGAAATAAATGGGCACAATACATTTTCAATTAATATTATAAATTACATACTCATAAATTTGAGTGTTAACAGTCACACATTCACTTATAATGACATGAAGCAGAATTAAGCATTTTAAGTCTTAAATATGGGTTCTTCTGATTGCGTAGTGATATATAAATAGAAATTATTTGAAGCTTTCGGCTCAGCTAGCGTCATCTAGCGTCGTGCTGATGACAACTCCGACAGTGAAGAACAACTTCCTTGACGTACGTTTCATTACAGATATTAAATCTTCACAAACATATGAATAGTTTCATTAATACTCCAATAGGTGGCCTGTTTAAGGTGGCCTGTTGAAAAAACAACAACGACATAGATAATTGAAATCGTTTTCAAGTATACCAATGAGAAAGCAAAAGTAGGTACGATTTTATGCAGGTATTGATTAGAATATGTCGAGCCTTAACTCATCCACCCGCATAGCTGTACATAACTTGTATACTAGGCAAGCTCTACGTCTAAAAAGTAGTGTATATCTGATATTAAATTCAAGGCATTCAAACAATCCTGAATCCTACATAATGTTCATAGAAAAATTGATACTTTTGTGTGTATCTTTAACGTAGACGGTAATATTGGATATTACTTGGCGGTTTCCTAGTAACATTTCCTGTGATGTAGGGATCATGCATTTAAATAACGTCTTATAGATATTCAATTCGGTACGGCAAAACGGACGAATAAAGTATGAACGTTCGTAATAATAGCCCGTTTCAT